CCCCGGTGCGGAGGCGGAGGCTCTTGCTGACCCACCCGCAGCCGTTCAGAAGAAAGCTGCTTTTCTAAAACCGGGGCGCTTTGGTGCTGTTGGGGATCAAAACGTGACACTGCAGCGCGGTGCCGCTTGCTGCGCCGCCCCGAGGACCGGCTATTTCTGTAGCTGAGCAATCATGGAATTAGACCGGAGGAGCCCTAATGATCCCTGCAGAAGGGAGCTGATTAGTAGCTTGCTCCAGGAGAAGGGTAAACTGTTTCATCTCCAAGCACTCCTTGGATTTTAATGGAAATTTCATTAGCTGCTCTTATTATTACCTGTGCAAAAATCAACAACACTATGATAATAATAGCTCTCGCTGCAATTAGGGCGAGTTGTGGTCAGCAGTTGTGATACATGAATCATGCTTTTTGTTAGCGATATTGGCAAAGGAATTGATCTTTTGGATCTGTTTCGCGGTGAAAAATGGAGTCTCCAAAGATGCCTCTCTCAAATCTCCCTTTTTCCTCTACACAGGCACGCTCTCTCCGTTGTTTTCACTCCTCCTTTGGATAGCAGTGGCGTTTTGTACGGCAATGCTGTTTTTCATCTCCAAGCCTGTTGGTATTCGACCCTTTTTGGTGTCTGTTATTCTCAGGTCTATATATACAATAGGGCTCGGTCCTACCTTGATACTTCTTGGTGCTGCTAATGTAAGTACTTAAAAAGCAAGCAGAATTTCCCTTTCAGCAGAAGCAGAGATATTAAGGGTCTCCTATTAAAAAAAGCCCTTGATTAGAGCTGTGCAAAGAACTTATTTTTCTGGTTCACTGGTTAAGCCAAAAAAAAAAAAAAAATTAAATCATTTTCAGTCATCCTGAAACAGCAGTATCAGCAAAGTGGGAAACTAAGAAAAAAAGCTGTTTTGGTTTTGTGCATATGCAAATATTTTAAAAATAAAAACAATATGAAATTTAAAGAAATATTGCTCAATCAGGGGAATCAAATTTAGTTTCTGGCATTAAAAGAGTAATACCAATACACATACCAAATATATCAATAAGCTCAGCAAAACTGACACTGACAAAAATTTGTGAGGTGCTTCTGCGAGCTTAAATATATTTTCGAGAAGAAAAAACTTTTCAAAGTTAAAAATTCTCTCAGCCCTTTTCCAGATCTCTTAACTTAGACATGAGTAAGTTTGCATGTTTTCTGAGCCCGGTAAGATATACAGTCACGCTCACAAGTCATCTATTTAGATTTCTGCCTGACTGCTACAGCTCTAATTCACCTTAGCACCAGGCGGCAAAGTATTGGGCTATTTGCCACCAATTCTGCGAGAATTTCACATAATTAAAACTACCCAGACATACAGTCAAAAGTAAAGGAAAGTAAGCAGTGCTTGCCTATGTCAAATTTGTGAAGGAAAAGAAACATGTTGAGTCCTCGTTCCTTGTCCTGGACTGCCAAACAGATGAGGTTAGGCAAAGCTCAGGAGCAATGGAGAATCTGATGCTGTTGCTTAAACTGTATACTTCAAAAATGCCCCCAGTAATTTCTTCTAGGGATTTTATATAGAAAGACGTGTGATCTGAAGGAAATGGTAGATCTCACACACACCCCACACACTTTCTGTTGTGTTACTATTGTTCTCTTTGTAGTAGCATGCCCAGCTGCTCTTACGTGGTCTTGGTCTAAACTCAAAACTGTTAGGAATTCACTCCCCAGTTGTGTTTTTAATGCCTTATGACATTAATCCTACCTACTCACTAATGTTATAGAAATAAATCACAATGTAATGAGGCACAGTGCAGTGTTAGAGGGGTGATGCTCTTCCACTTACTCTCATGAGCTCGTTCCCGGTGTGCCTTGGGAGCTGGATTTCTCTCGTCTCACTCCAGCTATCTAAAAGTTGAGCATTTACTCAAAGCAACCTATCTAGACTGTTTTGCACGTTGCAGCAATGCAAACAACAAATAACAGGATTTTTCTGATGCCTTTGTTACCCCTCCCACAGCTTTGTAACAAAATAGTGTTTCTGGTGAGCTTTGTTGGGAACCGTGGAACTTTTACCCGTGGCTACAGAGCAGTCATCATGGACATGGCTTTTCTCTATCACGTAGCATATGTCCTCGTCTGCATGCTGGGCCTCTGTGTGCACGAATTCTTCTACAGTTTCCTGGTAAGTATGTGCTTCTGTGGAGGGGAAAACTTTGCAAAAATAGAAAATACCGTTACACATGCAGCTGTCTTCAATTTCTTCCTGACAATCAAGCCAAATCATGTGTATTTTTAGCATGCCGTCATGTTGCTGCCCCTTAGGAGCTGCTGTTCTCATTAGAACCTGTTTCTGTTAGGACTTATTTTATCTGTTTTAGAGTTAAAAGTTTGCCCCTTTCTTTTCAGACCATCATACAGCCCACGCCTTTCTCCCACCCCTCCCCAGCATACATATATTATGTGTACATTGTTCCTGTATCTTGTGTCAGTCATAATCTCTTTGGGACAGGAGTTGTCCACTGGTGTGTGCATCATATCTATACCAAAAGATCCTATTCCTCAGTTCATCTTGCAGCGCTAATGAAATAAATTAAAAAAAAAAAATTACTTGGGAAATAGGGCCAGCATGCCTCTGGTGTAGCAGGAAGATTCATCACTTTAAATGTATCCCACTTCATTTTCTTTTGTTGCCATTACCCAGATGGAATGCCTTTTTATAATATGATACAGGTGCAATGAAAATGAATCATACAAAATTATGCTAAACTCGGCTAACTGCTCCCTTCATGCTGAATAGCAGTAAAAGGTGTTTCACTGCTCTTGTTTTCTAATCCTTTTGCTTCATACAGGAACACGTGAAACTTGTAGGGAGAGTGGCTAAATTGTGGTCATTTACATGGGTTCACTTTCCTGTTGTCGTATTTTTCTGTTTCCTGAAGAGTGGTGAGCTCCCTCCCAGCACTTCTCAGAAGTGTGTTAAGCATGCTAAAAATTTCAGGGGTTCAGTCCTCACTCTACTAGAGCTCCTGTTGAAGTCAGGTTTTCCAGATCTTGATGTTAAAGTCAGCTTCAGAGTTTGGGCAGATTTCAAAGGAACCAAGATTTTGTGGCTGTAGCTGCAGGACACTTTGCAAATGGATGTTACTCTCCTGCTTAAAAAATGCACAGCAAATTATCTGTTATCCTTTCAATGAGTAAGGTGATCTCCGCCTTAAAATACTTTCCAAAGTGAATTAAAAAAAATACTTTCCAAAGTAAATTAAGAAACACTTTATGTACTTACTTTTTTCAGTGACTGCTATTGACAAATCTCCGTGATTCATGGATGTTACAATTGTTCACATTCCCAAGTTACTTCCAGGTGTTAGGTTTGGAAATACTGTTCCTCATTTTAAGCTTTTTCTTGTACAGAATGAATGATAACTGTCATTCCTCTTTCTTCCTTTATTATTAATCCTTTCACAAGGCCGTGGATTTCAGATCTTGTGAGTTGTGACTAATACCTTCGTCTGTGGACCATTTTGATAAATCATAGTGTGTCACTTTATATCTGTAATCTGTGTGTTTTGAAGTGGAAATACATACATTATAGATAAGGTCCAAAGCACTATGGAACATCAATAGAATTGCAAAAGAAAAAAAAAGCTATAGTTTCTTGAGAAGCTCTTAGCATGTTTAATTGCTATTTTAGGCCTTTGACATTTAAAGCAGTATTATCTTAATGTATACTTTTCTTTAAAGTTAAATACCAGGAAAGCATATAGTGCAGGGTAAAGAAGAATAGAAGTTTCCAGTTTTATACAAACAGTGCAATAAATGTAACTTTGTCCTAAAAAAAGAGATGGCCCTAATCCTTGTTGTGCATGCGAGTGACTTTTAAATGATGCCATGAGCTCAAACAGTTTACAGACGTGTAATTACTTGCATGCATGAGTGCATTTTTTTAGTTGCAACCCATGCGTGTTTATCAGATGGGAGATAACATGAAAAATTAATTTGTAGATGTAGATCCATAGTATGAAGACATTGGGTTTTAATTTTAATCTAGGCTGGTTTTGAACATGGGGAGACAACGAATCTTGTTGGTAACCATTAGCCACGTCTGGATCGGGTTCATATATAATGTATGCTTTGCAGCTTTGGATTTTGCTATCATCTGTCTTAAAATTTAAAGTTCAGAGCTAAATTCCTCCTATAAGCATGCCCAGCTCCCACTGAAATCAATGTGAATTGTGTGTTTATGAAGCTGAGAATTTAGAATGTGGCTAGATGCGTGTTTTGGAAGTTCAGATTGCTTTCCTATGTAGCATCCATATATTGCCTCATTTGTATTCATTCTGCCTGTACTCTTTGCTTTTCCCAGCTGTTTGATCTGGTGTACAGAGAAGAGACATTGCTAAATGTGATAAAAAGTGTTACCCGGAACGGTCGTTCCATTATCCTCACTGCGGTGCTAGCACTCATCCTAGTTTATCTCTTCTCCATCATTGGGTTCCTCTTCTTGAAAGATGACTTTATCATGGAGGTCGACAGGTTGAAAATCAGGACCCCTGCTGCAGGTATTGGTTTTTTCTATTAAAATTTGCTTCCGACATATACCTTTTCTGTGGTCTAACCTAACTTTCCTCCAAGGAAGTTTATTTTTTTTATTTGTATCTGTTGGAGCAGAACTAACTCCGTTATACCTTAGGACTAAATTAAATCTCTCGGTAAAATTTAATGTGTAGGGTTGTTTTAGACTAGGTTTATCTGTTGAAATACGAAAATCTAACACTCACAGTTGATTTATTACATTTTCTTTTCTAACTCATGCTAAAATTAAAAAAAAGTCTAAATTTATGAAATATTTGGAAGAGTAACTCAAAGTGGATTCTATTGTTTCTCATCCCACCTTAAAAGCAGGTCATAGTATTTTCTGTGTACTGCATGAGGCCCGTGATCTTAACATGTTCAGTAGATGTATTCATTTGATTATTTTTTAAGCTTTATCCAGCAGAAATTTATTACAGAATTCACACTTCTGCTGATAGGGGATTTCCTGGAGCATCTTTTAAATTCAGTATGTATTTCACAAACATCACCATTAGTGTAAAATCCTGGCTTAGTAAAGTCATTGGGAGATTTTTAACCAGTTTTAAAAAGATTAGGATTTCACCTTTCTGGAATGAGAGATTTTACCAGTGTGGATACAGAGTTACAGACTTGCTTTGCTAATAAAAAAAGCCAGGTCTGGTCTGTTGAGATCTTTGTATATGCTGCCAACCAGCCTGCTGGGAGCATAGGCAGAGAAGTAACTGTCTGCTTAGAAGTTACCTGAGGATAGCTTGTGACTTAATTCACAGAGGCACGATATTCCCAAATGCTGAGCTCTTCAGCCCTGTACATAAGCACAGAACAACTAGTGGGGTTCTCCCTGGACTGTCTGCGCTGTTTGCCAGGTTTTTCCTGAATTTGTTATTTCAAGACCTAAAGCACACAAACAAGGCAAAGCTCATTCAAGACTCATGGGCACGGTGTACTCCTGTAGCTGTTTTGATACCATATGAAAACAAAGGAACTCGCTGGATTTCTTTAACACACCTTGCTTTTTGCCACCGATAATCTTAAAAGGGCTATATTGGCTTACATGGGACTTACCATTCATTTTTGGGACAGAATTTACGATCCAAAGTTTTACTTTGAAAGATAATTGTGGCCATTGTAGAAGACTGGATGCGAGGCTACACGCAGCTCTGGGCTGGTCCAGTGCAGCGGTTCTTGTGTGTTTGTGTTTCTTCTCTTGGGTTCTTGGCAGACTTTTGTGGTGTGGGTATATTCTTGCTGGCTTTATACGTTGCCATTCCTGATCAAAATCTCATCAAGAAAATATGCTGACTATATACTGATGGAACATTATGCATCCCAAGACAAGTGCTTTAAATTTTTTCTTTATAAAGTGGCACAAAGAGAAAGTCAGAGCGGATGTTTTCTGTGTTACACAGATTGTCTTAGGCTGCTACTTTGGTTGTATGATTTCACCTTCATTTTTTTCTCCTTAAACCTTTTTGTATCTCTGATTTGAAATGCAGAAAATTGTTGAAGAAGCACAAGATGAAATTGGTTTGATAAAATCAAGCTGATGTACACATTTACCCACTTTGGGAATGTTAAATTAGTGTTTTACACAAACCCATACATATTTACAAATGAGTACCAAACTGTGTTATAATCCTTGAAAACCCTTAAATATTCTACATTCAGGGTAACTGAACATCAGCTTGGTGTCCTTCTTGTCAGCTTTTGTGAATAATTTATCTAATGGTTTTAAAACTGACAATATTTTCATATCTGACAGTTGTTTCTTGCTTTGAATATATTTTGTTCTAACCAGAAGTAGCAGCATTTGATGTAGATTCATTAATTTCAGGAGATGAAATGGGAATAGCTGTGATATACAGTAAATATAAAACTGTGTTTTTGTTCCTTGTGATTGCTTTGAGCTGTTGAGGCAGACTGTTTGAGGAAGGAGGAACTGGCAGTATAATTTGTTCTGCTTTTTCTTCTCAACTTTTCAGATCAGTGATTCACTTTTAGAAAATAACGATTTAAAACTTTTTACCAATGCAGTATCTGTCTTTTTGTCCAAATCCCGCTTTTTACACAGGTATTGGTGAAGTCCCCACTACAACCCTCACATCAATGGTGGGCGCCTGTGCAAAAGAGAACTGTTCCACAAGCATCCCCATTATTAACCCAGGTTAGTACAAGCGTTCCCCAAAACTGATGATCAATTAGAACTGAGTGATTTGTGTGTTGTTATTGCGGAGACTTTTGCTAGTACGAGAAGCAATGATTGTTATTGTAAGTCAGAAGCGCTCAGCTTCCCCAAGGCTTGGAGCTTGGTTGGCAGCTTGCTTTTAATGCGAGTGCTTCCCACATCTGATTTCCAATTGCATTGACATTAATTTTGTTACTAAAAGAGCTTGCTGAATCATTATGCTTTAAGGTACAGGTCGCTTCTTTCCAGATGACACTGCTGAGAGAAAAAAGCTTGCTGCTTATCTGTAGCATCCTCACCTGCACACACTGAGCCGCTATTAGATCCATTTAGGGCAACAAGAGTTGATTTTAATGGCATAGCATATATCGGCAAGCTTTTGTGTATACTTTTTACGTGCTTCTAGGCCAAGGCTGCAGTGTAGCCGGAAGACCTGAGAGCCCCAATCCGGGATCAAGTTACTATGTCTTAACGAGTTACCGTGGCTCAGCTAAGCAGAGGCAGCAGTCGGTCTCTGCGTTCTTAGCTTGTGGCAAATGCAAGGCAACGCAGACTTGTTGTGAGCCTTTCTTGCGATAGCCAGGTTGTGTTGCTTTGTGCTTG